AAAAAGTTTAAGGGAGCTGAAGAAGAGAAAAAGAAGAAGATTGATATGTATTTTATTCCACCTACCCAATTTGGCTTTAAAATGAACAAATACCAGCCCTACAGATAATGTACTTCAATGCTTGCCATCAGTTGGACCTCGTGAAGCCAGCCATGAATCACAGAGCTGCTTGAGGTCATTATCATATTGGGGGCTTGGCAGAAAAGCCCTGCTCACACAGTGTATTAGTGACAGTCTGACAGCATCCCTCTACTTCCCACTCTACAATCTATTTAAGCCAACCCCCAAGTGACAAAACCTCAACTAGCATCCTCTCTGAAATTAAGGCTAATCCTTGATCCTTCCACTAATGTTAGGCAAGGAACTGATAAGATCTGTTAATAAATTGTTATAATGGCAGGCTTTTGGCTGTGACATCCGTGAAGAAATGTTGCAAATAAATGCTGCACATTCATGCAATGCATTGCACTGATTGTTAGAATTCCTGCTCCATGGTTGCAGTCATGGGATTTTTGTCTATCACATGACGACGTATGTTTTGACTCCACAGAGTGGGAAGTGACGGAGACGGGATGTTTGTGTTACTGTGTTCCGTGAAGTGGGACTATTGTCCTTTGTTTTTTCTCTTTGCTGTCTGATGCTAAAGAGAGAGGGAGCCATGTTGCAGTGCTCCGTTTGTGTTTATATGTAAATAAAGTAGATTAGCCAAAATGCTGAGTTGCTGAGGTCCATTATGTAAGCTGTGAAGACTCTGCAGATCCGTAAGTGTGCCGATGTCGGTTGGCATTGGTCGCTGTGATGTTCGGGCAGAAGAAAGCTTTTGAAGCTCCCGAACGATCGACCAGGAGGGAGGGAACATGCCAGTCGGGCATGTGTCTCTGCCAGGGTCCTACTCGAGTGTAGGACGAGCTCCTGACATTGATATCCCCCCCAGGAGCATATACAGCATGGCTCTCGTCCTCCTCATTTAATCCCCAGAATAGCCCAGTAAGGTAGGTTAGGCTAAGAGGCAGTGACTAGCCCAGAGAGTGTAATGGTAAAGTGGGAATTTGAACTCTTGTCTTCCAGGCTAATCTAGAGGAAAACAATAGAATGGGGAAAACCAGAGCTCTGTTCAAGAAAATTGGAGATATGAAAGGAACATTTCGTACAAAGATTTCCATAATAAAAGACAAAAGTGGAAAGGACCTAACAGAAGCTGAAGACATCAAGAAGAGATGGCAAGAATACACAGAGGAACTATACCAGAAAGAAATGGATGTCTCGTATACCCCAGGTAGTGTGGTTGCTGACCTTGAGCCAGACATCCTGGAGAGTGAAGTCAAATGGGCCTTAGAAACCATTGCTAATAACAAGGCCAGTGGAAGTGATGATATTCCAGCTGAACTATTTAAAATTTTAAACGATGATGCTGTCAAGGTGCTACACTCAATATGCCAGCAAATTTGGAAAACTCAGCAGTGGCCAGAGGACTGGAGAAGATCAGTCTACATCCCAATCCCAAAGAAGGGCAGTGCCAAAGAATGCTCCAACTACCGCACAATTGCACTCATTTCACACGCTAGCAAGATTATGCTCAAAATTCTACAAGGCAGGCTTAAGCAGTATGTGGACCGAGAACTCCCAGAAGTGCAAACTGGATTTAGAAGAGGCAGAGGAACCAGAGACCAAATTGCAAACATGCGCTGGATTATGGAGAAAGCTAGAGAGTTCCAGAAAGACATCTACTTCTGCTTCATTGACTATGCAAAAGCCTTTGACTGTGTCGACCACAGCAAACTATGGCAAGTTCTTAAAGAAATGGGAGTGCCCGATCACCTCATCTGTCTCCTGAGAAATCTCTATGTGGAACAAGAAGCTACAGTTAGAACTGGATATGGAACAACTGATTGGTTCAAAATTGGGAAAGGAGTACGGCAAGGCTGTATATTGTCCCCCTGCTTATTTAACTTATATGCAGAATTCATCATGCGAAAGGCTGGGCTGGATGAATCCCAAGCCGGAATTAAGATTGCCGGAAGAAATATCAACAACCTCAGATATGCAGATGACACAACATTGATGGCAGAAAGTGAGGAGGAATTAAAGAACCTTTTAATGAGGGTGAAAGAGGAGAGCGCAAAATATGGTTTGAAGCTCAACATCAAAAAAACGAAGATCATGGCCACTAGTCCCATGAACCTCCTGGCAAATAGAAGGAGAAGAAATGGAGGCAGTGAGAGATTTTACCTTCTTGGGCTCCATGATCACTGCAGATGGTGACAGCAGTCACGAAATTAAAAGATGCCTGCTCCTTGGGAGAAAGGTGATGGCAAACCTAGACAGCATCTTAAAAAGTAGAGACATCACCTTACCAACAAAAGTTTGTATAGTTAAAGCCATGGTCTTCCCAGTAGTGATGTATGGAAGTGAGAGCTGGACCATAAAGAAGGCTGATCGCCGAAGAATTGATGCTTTTGAACTATGGTGCTGGAGGAGACTCTTGAGAGTCCCATGGACTGCAAGAAGATCAAACGTATCCATTCTGAAGGAAATCAGCCCTGAATGTTCACTGGAAGGACAGATCGTGAAGCTGAGGCTCCAATACTCTGGCCACCTCATGAGAAGAGAAGACTCCCTGGAAAAGACCCTGATGTTGGGAAAGATGGAGGGCACAAAGAGAAGGGGATGACAGAGGACGAGATGGTTGGACAGTGTTCTTGAAGCTACAAACATGAGTCTGACCAAACTGCGGGAGGCAGTGGAAGACAGGAGTGCCTGGCGTGCTCTGGTCACGAAGAGTCGGACACGACTAAACGACTAAACAACAACTTCCAGGTCCAACACTGGCTTTCAGTTTGTGTGTGCAGGCATGCACGCACACAAACACACAAATGATTAGTTGAATTGTAGAGTTGGAAGAAGCCCCAATGGGCCATTTATTCCAACTCCTTGCAATGCATCGAAGGCATCCATGACAGATGGTTATCCAACCTCTGCTTACAAATCCCCAATGAATTGGATATTCGGCTAGTGACTTCACTTGCCCTTTAAACTGGACGGCTGCTTCCATCCTATCTTGTTCTATCTTATCCAATGAAGGTATAACAACAGCCCCACAGTGGGCAAGACTCTAAGTAGCTTGGAGTGATTTTTCATAGGGGTGTATGGAGAAATGGTGAATCCTCTCGCCTTCCTTTCCTGCACTGCAGTATGCTGAGAATTGTAATAAATCAATACATCTTTAAGGCATACGACATTTCCCTATATGCTAACCCAGAAAGACATTTGACTCCAAGTTGGCAGGCTGCTTGTCTCCTGTTTCCAAGCTCTACTTTATCCTCCCATCTATTGAAGGATCGCGGGCAACTCCAATGTTTTTATTTTATAAGGAAAAAGAGTTCTAGTACTCACCATGAAGTTGTTGCAGCAAATGCCACATTTTTGGGGGGAAATGGGGGGGGGATTGTGCTGATACTGCATAGCCTTGCACACACCCCCGGGGGGGGGGGAGGAAACCACTGGGCAAATCACTTGCCTTGCTATTCTGACTCAGTGGAGCACTCAGACTGGGTTGGGAAGTTGCACATGCTCTAGTTCTCAAAGTCAAGGGGCAGGTTTATTTTTATTTATTTTTTAAGCATCAGAGGCATCTGCTTTGGAGGTTTCAATCCTTGGGGAGGCAGCTCTGTGGAGCTTGTACTAGGAAAGAAATGGTACATTAACCCTCTTCAGTCCCAGGAGATAACCCTCCTCCTCTCCGAACAGGACTCTTTCGCAGCAAATCATTGGCACTAAAATATTGAGCACTAGAAGACTGAGAAGCAGAGCATGTGGAAGTGGGCTTCCAGCAAAATTAAGTAGAGCTTCATTTGAGTCACCTGCAAAACTGGTCTCGAGGCTGCCATTCCATGAAAAACGGATGGATATAAAAATGCTGGTCCCCAGAGTTCTATCACTGTCTTCACCTGCTGAAGGAATCATCTTCGGAGGGTGACCTGGAGCTCCCAGGACCAGCAGCCAGTGTTGAGGAGCCATGAGGCAGATCTGGGGGATCTGTGGCCCTCAGAGGACATGGCAAACCAACCTCCACCTCAAGACATGGGTAGCCCCTTCATGGAATTGGAGGTGGATGCTGAATAGTTTCCAAGTCTTAGGAAGCACAGATGCTTTAAGGCAGGCATGGCCAAACTTGACCCTCCAGTTGTTTGGGGACTACAACTCCCACCATCCCTAGCTAACAGGAACAGTAGTCAGGGATGATGGGAACTGTAGTCCCAAAACAGCTGGAGGGCCAAGTTTGGCCATGCCTGCTTTAAGGTGCAGTTTCAGTTGGCTAACAAACTGCTCACCAGAGAAACAATGACTCCTCAGGAGAAATATGATTGTTGTTGTTGTTTAGTCGTTTAGTCATTTAGTCGTTTAGTCGTGTCCGACTCTTCGTGACCCCATGGACAAGAGCATGCCAGGCACTACTGTCTTCCACTGCCTCCCGTAGTTTAGTCAAACTCATGCTGGTAGCTTCGAGAACACTGTCCAACCATCTCGTCCTCTGTCGTCCCCTTCTCCTTCTTTCCCAACATCAGGGTCTTTTCCAGGGAGTCTTCTCTTCTCATGAGGTGGCCAAAGTATTGGAGCCTCAGCTTCAGGATCTGTCCTTCCATTGAGCACTCAGGGCTGATTCCCTTCAGAATGGATAGGTTTGATCTTCTCGCAGTCCATGGGACTCTCAAGAGTCTCCTCCAGCACCATAATTCAAAAGCATCAATTCTTCGGCAATTAGCCTTCTTTATGGTCCAGCTCTCGCTTCCATACATCACTACTGGGAAAACCATAGCTTTAACTATACGGACCTTTGTCGGCAAGGTGATGTCTCTGCTTTTTAAGATGATACTCATAAGGAAGTATATCAAGTATGTTCCAGGCACAGAGAGTTGGAATAACCTCTTGGCAGCAAATTCCTGATCTGTGCACTCCTGCCCAGTCACTGAAGCCCCCTAGGTTTGGACTGCCTTTAGACCAGGCATAGGCAAACTCCGGCCCTCCAGATGTTTGGACTACAACTCCCACCATGGGAATTGTAGTCCCAAACATCTGGAGGGCTGGAGTTTGCCTATGCTTGCTTTAGACCTTGCTTCTCATGCTGCCCCTGTGTTAGGATGTCAGACTGTGATTCTGGTACTGTCCCCTGTTCTGCCTGCCTGTCACCTGAAGCAGGACAATTGCACCAAAAAAGGCACACTGAAATATTGAATTTTAGCACATGCATGATCTCTTACCCCTGGACTGAGCTCAGGGACACCCAGTTTTGATTGGCAACAGAAGCTGGATTCACAAATCGCTTCCTGGAGTTCTGCTTGGCAGGTAAAACCGTTCTTGGCAGGGGAAGATTGTGTGAAAAAAGTTCCCTTCAGGTGCTGGTTTTTTGGTCATTGTGTAGCTGTTAAGGGCACAAAACCCCTAAAAACAACCAAAATGTTACCTAACACCCCAGAAACCTGCAGATTCCAAAGCTATTTCTCATTGCCCAGTGACCAAATCTCTTTCTCAATATGTTTGCAGGTTTGAGTATGTGAGATTAAGTGTTTGACTTGAGAGCTTTTACTTAGTGTCCTCAAGGCTTTGGTATGACTTCCCAGAGGAAGTCTGATTGTGTCCCTTTTTGATGAGTTTCCAGAAAAAGTGTAAGGCTCAGTCATACATAGAGACACTTTATGAGCAAAACTGAGGAGCTGAATGTGAGTCTGCTGTTCGTAATGCATTGTTTTGTGAAACTCTTGCAGTTGGATTGGAAATTTAGTGGGTTTGTTGCTATGACTTTTTATGAGCTACTTCAGATGATAGAAGAGGCTGCATTTACATTTCTGAAACAAATTAATCAACAAGGAACAAATTACGTCCCCACATTTTGCTCTCTTGCTCATTCACAAATTAACCTAATCAGCAGATATGAACAGCGAAGGAAATGTTTGTGCCTCGGGATAACAGATGCCAATTAAGAACAGATAGTAAAAGTCATGTTAATTTTTCATTCTAAGTATCACCAGAACAATCTCACAGCCTTGATGGCAGCAAAATGAGCAATGAAGCAGGAACGAAAGTGTGGAACGGCTTTCGATGTAATGGCTCCTTTGAAGTCTACCTTGCCTAAAGTAATTATTGAAAGCTGGAGAGATCCTTGTTTGCTGTTTTAAAAGTTCTCCTGAGGAGAAAACAACCTGTCTCCATGGCTCCAAAAGATGGTTAGAGAAAGAAAAAGTTGTGAAGACCAATAATAAAAAAAAGTGGTAACACAGAGCCTGGATTCTCAAAATGTAACAGCAAATCTCCTTTAGAATGCCCTTGTGGGCCACTGACAGGGAAACCAGGATGTCCTCCTAGAAGTTCCAACTCAATTTTCATGTATATATGGCCCAAGAGATGCAATGCTACCTTTTTATTTTTAACTCAGAGCAGTATTTTTCTTACCTACAAGCATCGGGTAAATATCTGCTCCCTAGCCAAGATTCAGTTGCTAATTACACTGCATACCAAAAGGCTTTCAATAGGTAACTGGAATCAAATAACCCAACAAGGTGGAAGGATAGATCGTGAAGCGTGAAGCTGAGGCTCCAATACTTTGGCCACCTCATGAGAAGACCCTGATGTTGGGAAAGATGGAGGGCACAAGGAGAAGGGGACGAAAGAGGACAAGATGGTTGGATAGTGTTCTCGAAGCTACCAGCATGAGTTTGACCAAACTGCAGGAGGCAGTGGAAGACAGGAGTGCCTGGCGTGTTCTGGTCCATGGGGTCACAAAGAGTCGGACACGACTAAATGACTAAACAACAACAACAACCCAACAAGGAACCAATGGTCACAAACACAGCAGTAGGGAGGGGTAACATATTTCTGGAGCTGAAGGAACAGGTTAGCAAGAGTAAGTTTTGAGTGCCTGCGCATGGACACACGCACACACACGCACACACACGTTAATAACTTAGAAACTGTGAAAAGTTATGCAAAAGAACAAGGATGATGAAAATTGCAGCTGACAAGCCACTATCTATCTGTGAGAAGAAATCAAACAAACCTCAGGCACTAGCTCTACCAATACTGCCCTCTATGAGGCCCCACCTCTGTTATCTGAAACTGTAACATCTCACATGCTCATCTCATCAATCAACACAACATCCTGCGCCAGCATCACACAGCTCTAACATCTGTCACACCCAGTTCCAAGACACCTTGTCCCTGTAGTCAGTTTTGCAGAGGACAAAATACACTGGACGTGAGAACACAGGTCAACCAATAACTAATATAAATATCCATGTCAGGAGCTATGACATTCAACATGAACTGTTTGGGCAAACTCTTCATTTATATGCACCATGTTCAACAACTGTAGTTATTTTGATACAACAAAGAATTCTGGGGAGGGGAAAAAATCAGTTTTGTTCGAAGAAAATCCTTTCTCACCCACTTTCCCTCCAACGGATGCTTTAAAACAACATTTTTAAAAAGTGGCACTTTATGTAACATTCCTTTATACACAAAACATTAAAAAAAAAGAATCCGTCCAAAAAGTATAGTGAAAGCCCCTCCATGTCTTAAGATTGGTCTTAAGATGCCAGCAGTACAGATTTCTGAGAATTCTCTCATTTCAATAGGCAAATTAGAGTGTGGATCGTTTTTAAGGTTAGACGTAAACAAGGCTGAAGCAATATTACCTTGACAACACCTGGCATACACGACTATGCTCTGTTGTTTTCCTTTTATTGATTGCTTAAAGCCCAGCATTGTGTGAGAAAGAAAGTGCATTTCAAGATATGCTTATTACCCGAAGACCGTTATACCCAGCAGACACAGACAAGAGACTCACAGCCATAAGAATTCTGCTTCCTTGGGATAACAAGGGCTTACCTTTTCCTGCTCTGCAACATCCTTTCTGAGGTGATATCAACAGAACTGCACACAATATTCATATATTCATAGCATCACATAACAGTGTTGTGATATTAGCGCTTATGTGAAATTAGGATTTTTATTTTTATTTTGCTCTTGGCACTTGTTTACACTGCATCACATTTGCCTGTTTACTGTCACAGCTCACCTTGTTTGCAGATATTCTTTTGAGTATCCTTGCATTCCCTTTATGTTAAAATCACCTTGAACAATTTGGTATATAACCAGCAAACAAGACTACCTCACCAGTCAATCCTAACCCTAAACCAGTTCCCCAACCTTGGGCCTCCAGCTGGTTTTGGACTACAACTTCCATCATCCCTAGCTAGCAAGACCAGTGGTCAGGGATGGTGGAAATTGGTAGTTTGAAAACAGCTGGAGACCCAAGGTTGGGAGACACTGACCTAAACCATTTATGAACAGGTCCCTATCAGGAGGATCCATAGACCCCTGGTACCAAACTGTATGGGAAACCACTCTGTTAGAAAAACCATCCAACAAATTGAAAATATCATGGTGGCAAACACAGCAAGACACCTTCGCTCCTGCGTGGCTCCCCTTTGTCACATACACAGGCCAACAAGACAATGATCTATCCCCTGACTACAAATCAATATGGCGAACAACCCAGCAACACTTCCCTTTCACACAATCAAAACACACTGCAACCAACCATGCTCTGGGCTCTTTGATCTCTTGCTCCGCCAGCAAAAATAGGACACCTATCCACGCGACAAAAAAGCACCACCCATATACTCTGTAAAGAAGGAAAGCTTACAGCAGTGGTGTCCAAACTTTTTTCAAAGAGGGCCAGATTTGATGAAGTGAAGGGCCGTGAGGGCCGACCAAAGGGCTGACCACAGTTGTTGACCTTTTTTTAGGATTTTACCCCAAAGTTATTGAACTATTTTTAGGACTGAAGTTGTTGAGCTTTTTAGGATTGAGGTCATTGAGGGGTTTTTTAGGATTTTACCCCAGGAAATAAACTGCCACAGGGGCCAGATTAAACCAGATTAGGCCCCCGAAATGGACTTTGGACATGCCTGGTTTACAGTCTCCCTCACCCCCTTCCCCTTCTCTATTTTCTCCTCTCTCTTCCCCCCACTTTTCTTACCCTCACAACCCCACACTGACTACAACAAAAATGTCTCGAATGGACTGTAGTTGAGCTGTAAGAAAGACTCTACGATTTGAAAATAGAGACACTAAATGTACTCTTGTTACTTATGGAAAATCTTATGGAGGGAGGTCTACACTTTCTACATCCCTCCTGTCTATTTATTCCTATTTTCTGTTTCTTGTTCCTTAAGCAGTTACTGATCCCCAAGAGGACCTGAGGTGGGCCACAACATGAAAGCTGTTCGTAGCAACTTGCAGAGTGACGTTGGGGGTGGGGGTTTGGGGTCAGTGTTTCTTGGAGAGCAGCTGGAAAAACACGACTGCCTCCTGCATTTTCTTCCCCAAGGAATTTGAGGAAGCATCAGTCCAAGCTCAAAACACCACAAGGAAGATGTCACCTATGCATAGTGAACTTACCTGGCACTTTCAAAGGTTGCAGATGCTGACTTTCCAACAGCACCAAATCCAACGCCAACAGCCAAGCCCTCTGAAAGAGAGAAAGAACATGGTAATGTAGTAACCTAGCAGGTGGCTTGGCTTATAGATGGACACCCTGCATAATTCATTCTCGCCCACTTTAGGATTTGGCCACGCAGTCCTTGAGCTGAAAAAGGCTCCCCACCCCATTTTTATACTTTATGTGTCCTGTATAAGGATACGACTTGTTGAGCTTGATTTTGAACTTGTGGGTTTAGGAAAACGAAGGATACTGAGTAACACAAGATCCATTTGCTGTTGTTTACTGTCTCTCATCTCCTATATATTTTGGAAAGTTGTTGGCCTCTGTCTGTTTTCTATGCACCTCTTAAGATATTGTAAACAGGTTTGCAAGGTGCTTCCTGATATGAGGAACAGGTTTTTGTCCATGTATGGATACAGTTGGACACCATTTTGAATCAAGATGGCAGACTGAACCTGTCAAAACGCCACTGATTTTCATTTCACTTTTCATTTGTATGCTGCATTTCTATATTCTATACACAAGGCAGTTTACAGGAACAAAATATACAACAAAGAACACACACCTTATTATAATCTGATCCAATACAAAAAATATTGTAATAAAAGATAACTTTAAAATGGAATGACTTGTATCAAATAAATAGTCAACAATCTTTCAGAATATAATAGTAAACAATAAAATTAACTCTCAAAATGTCAGCAAATAATAATTAAACAGAAATTTACTCTTAACAATCACAATAAATAATTACTAAACTATGATCTATAAAAAATAACTGCAAATCACAATGCATCAAATACCACAATCAGTGCTTTTTTTTCTTAAAAAAAATGTTTATGGGTACTCTCATTTTCCTACTCATATTGAAATACTGCCCCTCAATGAGGCCAAACTTAGATTCACAAAATGTTATGGGTATGTGTACCCCTGCGTCCCCCCAGAAAAAAGCACTGACCACAATACGTACAAAGCTATGTAAAAGGATCAAATTGATAACCGCTATTTCAAAACAGCACTGAATTGTTTTGGTTTCTTAGAATTCCACTAGTTAGTTTGCTGTCATTTGATTAACTATCTAAATATATCAATATCCCTTTGTTTTGCTTAAAAGAAAATGGCATGGCAATCTTAAAATCACTAGCTCTTCCCCTGATGTATTGCAAAGAAAAAAACCACAATCCGCAGGAAGTTAGACATATTTAAATCAAGCTATTCTAAATTTAATTGCAACTATACTCGTTCTACCGATTTCCATGAGACTTAAATGCAGCTAACTTGAACTGGACCATGGCCTGAGAATGAAAGACTTAAAAGGGGGTGGGGGCAGAAAACAAGACAAAAAGCAGTGAGCATTTTGGAACCTTAGAAGATTCTGTTGGCTTTTTTTACAATGCCTCAAGACTGTTTGTTGTTTTCACTAACAGCGTGGTTACACTTCTATAATTAACCTTCTAAGAGTGCAGTCAGTTGCTGCCTTTACTCTAATGACTCAATTTTATCAGCTTCCACACTAGCCAACAAGCACAAATATTTAGGCTCTTTCAGTGAAACATCACTCAATACAAAATAGTCTTAGCAAGAACACTGATCCCACAGAGAAAGAAATACTGTGCAAGGCAATTCCTTTCACTAGGCCAAATAACTTTCCTTTTGGGGGGTACTGGATAGCTCAGTTGGTAGAGGATGAGACTCTTAATCTCAGGGTTGTGAGTTTGAGTCCGATATTGGGCAAAAGATTCCCATAGGGAACTGGATGACCTTTGGGGTCCATTCCAACTTTCCATTGATTCTACAATTCTATGATATTCAAAGCATCACAGTAGCATAGAAATCAATGATGTAGCACTAATATGGTGGAAAAGAAGCATGGTGAGTCTGGGCAGGGCAGAGTGGAAACTATTCATGTGCCATCTTCATTGGCATTCTGCCTACCAGGAGAATCCAATGGTAGGCAAAGGAGAAGATGAGCTATTAGGTTACATAGCTATGGAGCCATATTGGTGTGAGTCTCTAGCTGCACTGGCCATGGCTGTGTTCACAGCATACATCTATATCAAATTTTAAAGTGCATTGCTACATCCCCAAAGAATCGTGGGAACTGTAGTTTACCCATCTCCTACAATCCCTAGCACTCTTACCAAACTGTATTTCCCACAATTCTTTGAGGGAAGTTATGCACTCTAAATGTATGGTATTTACACTGCCTAGTCGTCTAGGACTAGCTAGCCCGACCACAGCATCAAATTTAAGACCATTATTTCATACCTCAAACATCAACAGAAAATAAATATGACTGGCTCCCCATCCTCTCCCATCACATGAAAAAATATGAGTAAAATAGCATGTCCTGCTATATGCTGCGGATATAGTTTGCCTGAACCTCCTTGGTTTTTGTTAATACAGCCATCCAAAACTAGTCTTAGGTTACCAGCCTCAGAGACATAGGAAACAGGAATCCACATTAAAGTGTTAGGCCATGTTAACTAACACATATGAGACTAATTTTTGCCATGTGCCAGCTTTGTGGATGTTTTAATTATTGCAGCGTTCAGAGCTCAGCATGTTCTAATAGAAGCTTCACTAGCAGGTGCATTTACATCTCCGCAGGGCATAAATCAGAACTGCCTTAATTACAATTGCTGTAGCTGCTAATGGGGAGAAGGAAGCATTTAGCCCTCAAACAGGTGCAGGAAATCTGACAACTTACTTCATTATGTGCTTTGGGCTTTGTCCCCAGAGGTGAGTCTTGAAGCCACTCCTAGGCAATTGACTCAATTCTCTCATTGGTTCATCCCACTTCCAGATGCTTCTGTTTCCTCCTCAAACCACCAGTCCCTTAAACTACTTCAAGCATCTTCACATCTTTCAAACAGCGGCCGTTCAGAGGAATAATTCCTAGTGACGCAACCTTTTCTACAAATATCAGTTGTTGTTTTTAAAAAAGAAGTGTTTGTGTTGTTATCATTCTGCCTCCAGCACCACATGGGAGGAGAGAGAATGAATGAATGAATGATAACTGTAGCACTGAGAACCTCTTGATTTTGGCATGAAAAAAGAGGCTCAATTGAGACAGAGGCAATGGCCAATAAGACAGCAAACCAATGCATATTTTCAAAAAGGCTCTAGACTTCAGCTTTCGGTGGCAAAGATATTACAAGACTGGAAGGGCGAACACGCCACCCACTGTTCTGCAGTCTGAAGATCTCACTGCCCTTTCTGCATTTGAATGCATGGCTTATCACGGTCAGTCTTGTTTAGATACCTATTTGGACATATAGAACTGTGTATATTAATTTACACTTTTAAATTGGAAATGGTGGACTATTCCTATTGTAAATGTCAGCAGGAAATGGAAAAGAGACTCTTGCAAATGTCTCTTTGTAACTGCTGGACTCAAGGATATGCACAGCATTGAATAAGCATTAGGAGTTATCAGTGTTTGTAAATAAAAAAAAGGTTGTGACCTCCCTTTGTCGCCTCAGCCTGGTCCTCGGACCGTTGTCGGCATAAAAGAGTCCACGAGAAAAGTATCCTTGCAGAGCACTTTCTGCTTTTATTCTTAAAAGACTTTCTGCAAAAGCGACTGACCAACTGTACACAAATCAACACTACCAGCTTTCAACAACCAACCAACCAACCCAATCCAACCTAACATTTCTCACTCAATATATATACAACCCGGTGCAGGCCACTGACTCACGCTGACCCAACTTTTTAAGCATTAAAGAAACAGCGGCCATTTTAGCCATGACAGGAGTTCCAGATACTTTAATGTCTAAAATACAGAATGGGCTCTGCAGCCTCTTCACTCCAGCCCGGTTCTATCTTTCACCCACCATCACACCTTAGCTGCTATCCTGCCTTCAAGTCCTTCTCTAAGTTTTGAAGTGTGTTAATTGCAGAGTTAACACAATTGTAGAACTAGCAGTCGCAGTGACTTCTCTTGCAATAAAATGGTGCTGACTGCAGCTTCTCCCTTCTCATGATGAAAATGGTACTGGCTAGGTCTGGTGCTCCAATATGGGGTGGCAATTGATGGGAGGCACAGCTGGAGACAGCAATGCTTCTGAATACCAGTTGCTGGAAGCCCCCAAAGGGGAGAGTGCTCTTGTGTTTGGATTTTGCTTGCTGGTTTCCCACAGGCATCTGGACTAGACGGGGCACTGGCTCAATCCAGCTAAATGTTCTTAAGTGTATTCGTCTGTCCTTAAGAGATGACTCCCGAAGGGGGTTCTTCTTGAGACTCTGGAAATCTGAACGAAATGGAATTGAAGGGAAACATACACAACTGCCTCAACCAATAGCAGCAATTCCAATGGCTAAGTGCTCTCTTGAGCATCTGTCAGAAAGGAATCTTGCGACATGGCACGGTTAACAAAGTGAAATACAGTAGCTATTGCCCCTTGCGATTAAAGTAACAGACATTAATCTTGAGGCCAGTGTTAAAAACTCTGTTTTAAATTTGAATAAAGACAGCAAGCGAACATATGATCAGATAAATCTGCAAGGTGCCTGCGAGGAGAAAGAAAAGAAGCAGGCAGCCCACCTCTGCCAAGAGGAAGTGGTGTATTCCCAGCAGGGGCAGGGGTCTCTGGCCTCAGTCCTGTTCCCCCTGCCACCAATGAGTAGGAGATGTCTATCTGAACACCCCTCCAATAACCTGAAGAGCCCTACTCACTCAGGGCAAAGGCTCATCTAGTATAGCATTCTGTTCTCACAGTAGCCAACAAGATGTCTATGAGAAGCCCACAAGCAGGACGTGAGCACAGCAGCACTCTTCCCACTTGAAATTCCTAGCAACTGGTTGATGGAGGCATAGTGCCTCCAGCAGTGGAGGGACAAGGTATCCATCACAGGCTAGTACATGCCGATAGCCTTATCCTCCAACCTAGAGCCTGGATAGCTCAGTTGGTTAGAGCGTGGTGCCAATAATGCCAAGGTTACAGGTTCGATCCCCATAAGGCTGCATTGCATATTCCTGCAATGAAGGGGGTTGGACTAGATGATCCTCAAGATCCCTTCCAACTCCACAACTCTTTGATTCTAATCCTCTTTTAAAGCCATCCAAATTGGTGGCCATCACGGTCTCCCCTGTAGGAGCGACTTCCCCAGTGCACTGTGTGAAGAAGTGACACTTGAAGAACAATGGCAGTTGGGGGGAAGCCAAGTTCATCCCATGTCAAATGGGCCCATTTGCTAATATGATCGCATGCACCTTCAGTTGCCCTAAAGGTGAAAATAGGGACAAATGAAGAAGAGACCTTAGGGTGGGAAATGGTGATTATCCAGTTGGAATTTCCAGTGAACCCAGGTAGCTAGCATTAATGAAATCAAATGCAAGCTACAGCTACATAAGATACGTAAAAAGGGGGAAACTGAGCTCAGCAGATGATGCAGGATGGGATAACTGTGTGCTGGGCAAGAGCTGCCGAGTGGAAATGGAAGCCATGACGTGTACCAGGTGTGCTACCAAAGTGCAAATTAGGGTGGTAATTGAGAGCAGAAATGGGCTGCGACAGCATACTAATTTCACTCATGAATGTGCAAAGTGAGGCTCTGGAAAGACAGGTTCCACCAATTACTGCTGCAGAGGGAGATTTCCCCAGACACATGGGGAGGGAAAGGCAGAGATTGAAAGAAATGAGACTGGTGAGCCTGCATGATGCTGCATGAACAGCCTCTCCAGAAAAAGAGGGGTCTACATAATCATAGGCTTGGAAAGAACCTTGAAGACCATGTAGACCAAACAGTCTGATGAGTACAGGGTCTGCAATGTGGCACTCAACTGCTAGCATCCCTGGGGGTTGGTTGTTCAGACTCCACTTAAATGCCTCCATGGAAAGGGATCTGATCACCTCCTGAGGAAACCTTTGTACCGTTCAACACCTCTTACCACTGGGTGCCAGAATCCCTTTTCTCCGCAATATCTATCCATTGGTTCTCACCTTGCCCTCCAAAGCAACAGAGAATGACTCTACTACATCTTCTTTCAGATATACGGAGGTCACTTTCACATTCTCCCCAGTCCATCTTCTCTTCTCCATGCTGAACACACCTGGTCCTCATTGGATTTGGTTTACAGCCTGCTCACCATCCTGGCCAGCCTCCTCTGGACTCACAACAGGGTTAGTTGAGAAGACTTCAAAACAGTTATCCACTCCCAATTAGAAGTATGATGTAACTGTTCATCTAATTAGATAATGGGGCCAGTTCTTGACAATGCTGCTAAGATATCTAGGACAGGACATTAGGGTGGTACACAAGCATCATCTGTATCCTGTATCCCATAGGACCTGGGGCTGCAGTGGAATTGGGATATAATTCTCCAAGAGAGCTGAGAAAAGACTTAAGAGCTTGGCAGGAATCAATTTCGCAGGTTCTCCTCTCCCTGCAGAGAAGAACAACAAAGACAAGAAGCAATGGTGCTGTGTTGCCAATGTATGCAGCCTCCTAAGAGTAGCATGCGGTTCCTTTGAAGCTCGATGGCTGTGGGCAGATGGTCTGGGACTGGCCCCAGGTAGAGAAAACTGAGCAACATCTCCAGATGAAACATGCACTTAAATGGAAGTGAAAGAATGCATAAAGAAAGTTTATCTTTCCTCATTTCACCTTCAAAAGTATTTGGTTGAGGTGAATACACCCACATAATTTATCCTGTGGCCATATTCAAATAATTGAATCCTTTGGAAAGAACATTACTCCACCAGAGAGAGAGGGATTGTTAAGTGGCA